TCAAACTGTGCCTTTCCAAGTGATCATAAATCCTGTCTCAGAGCCCTTTCCAATAATTTGCCCACCACTGACGCAAGACTAACTGGCCTGTAATTTCCGGGGTTATCCCTGTTCCCTTTTCTGAACAAAAGAATGATGTTTGCCTCTTTCCAATCTTCTGGCACTATACCTGTGGACAGTGAGGACGAAAAGATCATCGTCAAAGGCCCTGCGATCTCGTCCCTCGCTTCCCATAGAATCCTTGGATAAATCCCATCAGGCCCGGGGGACTTATCTATCTTCAACTTCCCCAGAATTCCTAGCACATCATCTTTACTAACATCAACAATTCATTAAGGACCTCTCCTATCTCTTTAGGCTCTGTGCACAAATTCCCTTTACAATCCTTGATCGGCCCTACCCTTTCTCTGGTCATTCTCTTGTTCTGCACATTCGTGTAAAAAGCCTTGGAGTTTTCCTTGATCCTATCCGCCAAGATTTTCTCATGCCCCCTTATAGATCTCCTAAGCCCTTTCTTCAGCTCCTTCCTGGCTAACTTGTATCCCTCTAGAGCCTTTTCCGTTCCTCTTTTCCTAAACCTTACATAAGCCTCCTTCTTCCCCTTAACCAGTCGTTCAACCTCTCTCGAGAACCATGGCTCCCTCACTTGACCGCATCTTCTCTGCTTGCTAAGGACAAACGTATCGAGCACATGCAGTATGCATTCTTTAAACAGTCTCCACATTTCTGTGGTGCTCTTCCCTGACAGCATCTGTTCCCAATTTATGTTATCCAGTTCTTGCCTAACTGAATTGTAATTACCCTTCCCCCAATTGTAAACTTTACCCTGCCGTATGTACCGATCCTTATCCATGACTATCGTGAAAGAAACAGTTATGATTGCTACCACCAAAATGCTCTCCTACCAACACGTCTAACACTTGGCCCGGTTCGTTGCCAAGCACCAAATCCAAAGTGGCCTCTCCCCGTGTTGGTCTATTTACGTATTGTGTCAGGAATCCTTCCTGAACACACTGGACAAAATCTGCTCCATCTAAAATATTACAACTAAAATGTTTCCAATCAATATTTGGAAAGTTGAAGTCACCCATGACTACAACCCTGTGACTTCTGCACCTTTCCAGTATCTGCCTCCCAATCCACTCCTCTATTTCTCTGCAACTATTTGGGGGTCTGTTAAAAATGCCCCAAAGTGACTGCTCCTTTCTTGTTCCTGACCTCAACCCAAACTGACTCTGTAGACACATCATGCTCAAACTGCCTTTCAGTAGCAGCTATACTCGCCCTGACTAGCAATACCACTCCCCGCCTCTTTTTCCACCCTCCCTATTTCTTTTGAAGCATCTAAATCCCAGAACTTCCAACAACCATTCCTCTCCCTGAGTTACCCAAGTTTCTGTAATGGCCACAACATCGTAGTTCCAAGTACCAACCCATGCTCTAAGTTCATCCGCTTTATTTCTGATACTTCTAGCATTGGAAGAATACACACCTCAAACCATCTCAGTGTCTGCAATTACACTCCATCGACCGCATTTCTTTATCAACCACCTCACTCCCTGTTGTGTCTGTTGGAAGGCCGAATACCTCATCCTCTGAATTATAAATCTGATTCCCCACCCCCTGCTAAACTAGTTTAAACCATTCCGTACAGCTCTAGCAATCCTCCCTCCCAGGATATTTGTGCCCTTCCGGTTCAGGTGCAACCCGTCCTTACTGTACAGGTCCCACCTTCCCCAGAATGTGCTCCAATTATCCACATAATGGAAGCCCTCCCTCCTCTACCAGCCCTGTAGCCATGTGTTTAGCTGCACACTCTCCCTATTTCTTACCTCGTTATCATGCGACACTGGTAGTAATCCAGAGATAACTACCGTTTGCCCTGGACTTCAGCTTCCAACCGAACTCCCTGTACTCGTTTTACACATTCTCAGTCCTTTTTCTACCCATGTCATTGGTACCGATGTGTACCATGACTGCTGGTTGCTCACCCTCCCCCTTAAGGATCTCGAAGGCACGATCCGAGACATCATGGACCCTGGCACCCGGGAGGCAACATACCATCCTTTCATCTCGTTCGCGTCCACAGAACTGCCTGTCTGTGCCTCTTACTATTGAAGCCCCCACTACAATTGCTCTCCTATTCTCCCCCCTTCCCTTCTTTGCCACAGGGTCAGGCTCAGTGCCAGAGACCAGTCCGCTATGGCCTTCCCCTGGTAGGTCGTTCCCCCCGCAACAGTATCCAAAACGGTATACTTATTTTTGAGGGGAACGGCCACAGGGGATCCCTGCACTGTCTGCCTATTCCCTTTCCCCTTCCTGACAGTCACCCAGCTACCTTTTTCCTGTACCTTGGGTGTGACCACCTTCCTGTAACTCCTCTCTATCACCCCCTCAGCTTCCCAAATGATCCGGAGTTCATCCAGCTCCAGCTCCAGTTCCCTAACACGGTTTTTGAGGAGCTGGAGTTGGGTGCACTTCTCACAGGTGAAGTCAGAGGGGACACCAGCAGTGACCCTTACCTCCCACATCCTGCAAGAGGAGCATGCAACTGCCCTAGCTTCCATTCCCTCTACTCTAGATTTCCAGAAGAATTAAAAAAAAAAGCCTTGTTGGGCTGAAGGGCCTGTTTCCACAAGGTAGGGATTCTATAACAAAAAAAAAAATCCCGTGTTCACATCCAAATCATTTATATAAAATGACGAAAAGCAGTGAACCCAGCATTGATCTTTGTGGCACAACACTGGTCACAAGTCTCCAGTCTGAAAAAAAAGCCCTCCACATCACCTTCTGCCTTCTACCTTGGAGTCGGTTCTGTATCCAAATGGCTAGTTCTCCCTGTATTCTATGTGATTTAACTTTGTGTCAGGCTTTCTTTCCTTCGAAGTTTATTAATGGTGTTTGATGTCATTTTTATTATTTTCTTCTGAATTGTTAGGTAATAAAATTATTCTTTCTTTCTCTCAAGGAAACTTAAGTAATTGTCTCCTTCATTTTCTAGCAAACTACTTTTTAACTATGGTGTTGTAGCTGTGTGATAAAAAAATAAAAATATTTGTTACAATTGGCCAAGTGTGTGTAAAAATTGGGGTGTAAAAATTGGGGAGATTGGGGAGCGGATTCCCCCCTCTCAGTTGATCATAACAATATTTAAGACAAAAAGTTACGTGTGTTTTTTTGGAAACAGATTTGACTACATTGGGATTCCCATTTTGTAAGAGAACCTAGATTAGAAGAAAATGGAATGGAGAAGCTGTTTACAGTAAAAGTAGAAAATAGATTTACTTGAGGCACATCCAGCAGAATGAGAAGGAAATCATTAAAAAATACTGGCCCTATATTAGTGAGGCATAAACAAAACTGATGAACAATATTAAACATGCTGCATCTGTGAAAAATTACTGTCATGTTATATCCCTGTAAGAAATTTATAGTTAAAAGACTGGACTTCTCCAGGGTGAAGTCAACTAAAAATTTGGGGAAAATAATAGTCTACAAGTCTAGAACCACATGTTAGTCACTTAAATCACAGTAGGATAAAGGTAATGGGCAAGTTTGCTTTTATTTCTCATCAAGTTTCCCCTTCGTTTGAAAGCAATTCAATATTCAAGTTTACTTGAGCTTTTCTGAACCCAAGATGAAAAGCTACATTACAATCTCTGTGCTACAAAAGCAAATCACAACACAGCCTTAACTGATAAATAAATGTTTTATAATAAGGTCACGCAGGGTGAAACAAAAGTCATTAAAGATTCTTTTCTAAACAGAAGAAAAGAAAGAAAGATATTAAAAGAAAACAAATAGACTACCAATCAATCCTGCAATTATGCAAGTCTATCGTTGGCAAGCAACTACTTCTGAAATTTAGTTTAAAAACAGCTATTATAAAAATCTAACCATCTGAAGGGTAACTTTCTCATTTGGGTTGGTACCTTAGTGCTTTCAACCCATGCACAAATTCATAGTTTTAAATCTAAGATCTACAAATCTAAGAGTTAACCAGGTTTTCTACCATAACTGTTTCTATCAAAGAAAATCAGAGGGCTTTTGGTAAGTCTGACAAAATGAGTTGTTTTGAAGAGCACAGATTTTTGTTTCAAAAGAACTTCTGGAGAGTAGAAGGTAATTAAAAAAAACCTTGTTAAAAAAGATCTAAATCTTGCATGAAGTGAGGAGGTTGTTTAATTTCAATGTTGATTTTAATTCTAATATATAATCAACAGTTGATTTATTTACAAAATCAAAATCATAGTTAATAAATGAGGTTTATTTCACAAAGAGAATATAATTAATAAATCATAAAGGGAACAAGGTAGTGAAAAAAGGAAACCAGTGAGCAGAGTCTGTTCTGCCTGTTTTGAGGGCAACGTAGTTCAGCACCTCACCCTCTACACTTATGAATCATTGTGGTTTTCTTTCTCCATTAAAATGTTGATCCAATTCCCTGCTGAAAGTTACTAACAAATCCATTTCCATTACCATACCAAGCAGTGCATTCCAAATCCTAACCACTCATTCTCTAAGAAAGGATTTATTTTACATCATGTCTGGCCTTTTATCAATTGCCTTAAATCTTTCAGCTATGGTTATCAACTCTCAGCCACTGGAAACACTTTCTCTTTACTTATTCCATCTAAATCCTTCCTGATTTTAAATACCTCAATTAAAAATTAATTAAATTGCACAAAGAGAACACGGCAGTTCCTTTCATTTTAAAGGATAGTAGGAACTGCTGATGCAAGAGTCTGAGATAACCAGGTGTGGAGCTGGATGAACACAGCAGGCCAGGTAGCATCAGAGGAGAAGAAAAGCTGATGTTTCAGGTCTGGACCCCTCTTCAGAAAAAAAGGGTCCAGACCCAAAACGTCAGCTTTCCTGCTCCTCTGATGCTACCTAGCCTGTCGTGTTCATTCACCTCCACACCTTGTTATCTCCTTTCATTTTATGTCTTTTGTCCCTACAGCATCTGAAAAAGAAAACAGATCTGTGAAGCAACCTACCGTCTCATGAAACTCAACTTGCTGCTGTAGGTACAGTTGGATTACAGAATTGTAATCATAAATTCGATTATTGTGGAAGTGATTCATTTCAGCTGTAATGAAATTAAGGTCTTAATTCAATAGCCTTTACGCAATCACCTTTATTCACAAACTTAAAATGTAAAATAAAGCAAAACCTAAGAAAATACTTTCAATTTTCTACACTCTAATCAAATTTTTTATACCCACTTTTTTTTTTTTTTTCCGATTTCTCCCCATTCCAGAAAGATAGGGCAACCTAGGCTGTGAAAGGATATGGAGCAGAAGCGGGTAAATGGAATGGAGATACAGATTACCCATAATCTAACAGAATGGGGGAACAAGCTAAAGCAGAAGATTGCTCTATTCGTGTTCCTATATTACTGAGCATTGACAGGAAGCAAATCAGCAGGAAGACAGCTTCTGCACAGCAGGCCAACTCAGACTTTCACTTCCCCAAGTTGCCATGACAGACTCCATTTTGTAGTGAGATTATCAGAGTAGCAAATCAGATTACCTGACACATCTGTAACCGGAAGTTCTAGTTATATTTTAATGCCACTGGAAGTTTTACAGGTAACATTGAGGATATGCAATTCTTAACTATCTTAATTTTGTTTTAATTTAGAAGACGTAATACTTTCGATTAAAAATATTTGTTCTCCTCCACACACAACAGTGATCCCCTTAAATTAGGTTATTAAGGCCAGACAAAGTTGGGTTGGCTACATAAGATAAAGTGTGTATCAAGTTTCACACTTCAGATTAAAGACATTAAGTAAGATTCAAATATGAATCAGGTTTTTTTTCATTTATGTCTGTTTCCTTGTGCCAATCCATAACAACAGGGTTCCCAAACATCAGAGAACAACCAAATGTTTCTCAAATGAAGGTTACCTCTCAAATGCTCCTTCCAGCAGTCCAAGAGATCAGCCATGTAAATTACCCACCACAGTGATACAACATCACTTCCCTAACACTCCCGTCACTGTCCTCTCCCCAAATTGGTCATGATACTTGCTGCAGTTAAATCCATAGCCTCAGGGACACCACATGGTCACCACTGCAGGGAACCAGGATTTTGTGTAGCACAGTGAGCAGAGAGACAGTGAGAGTCAGGTATCAGAATGGTCAGGAATCCCCGAACCCCCCCGAGTGCTATGAATTAAATTACAGGAGAGAGAAGAAAGTTAGTATCAAGGGGAGGAGGGGAATGGTATCTTAGAGTTCGAAACCATGCACCAGAAAAAAAAACAGATTGTGGACTTACATTTGGAAACTTGGGGTCAAGTAAAGCAGAAGGAATGGGTGGACACAGGGACCACAATTTTCCACAGTGCCAGGATTATCAGCAAGACGGTTAGTGGGACTGACACTGAGAAGTGCAGTCCGTAAGTGGGCAAGTTGACATTACTCTGGGTAAATTGTGAAATACTATTTCCAATGGTAGAGAATGATGGACTATAACCAGAAAACAAATATTCTCATTGGAGGCAACAAATGGAAGAAAAGGAGGAAAATTCTTGGATGTAGGGTCACAACAGCATGGAATGTGTGGATACAAAAGTCTGAAAACATACCAACAAATTCAAGAACAGTGTCTTCCCCATTGTTATCAGACTTTTGAACAGTCCTCTCATATTAGAGTTGATCTTTCTCTGCACCTCTAATACTATATTTTGCATTCTGTTCTATTACCATGATGTACTTATGTAAAGTATGATTTGCCAGGATAGCACACAAAATAATGATTTTCACTGTATCTTGGTACATATGATAATATTAAATCAAATCACATACACAACCTCAGTGATTATTAACGTAAAAGATTATGTTAAAATTATGAATACCAAAAGGTCTTGGAGTAAGTGAAGTGGATGCCCTGATTTTCTTCTTCACCTGCTCATTAGTGTCCTCCTGGTTTTTTGAACTTCAGGCACAGCGGCTGCTGAGGTGAATCCACAAGAGACAGTACTCAGCTATAGGGGTCCAAAGCATATAATGAAAATGCAGCAACATTTAGAAGTCATGTGGTCAGAATGACTTGTTGCCTCCAAGCAGAGTTGGCAAACCTAACACCAGCAGCCAAGAATCCCAAATTTCTAATAGTATTGCTATGAAGCAGCTGCGGAAATATCACAGGGTTCAAAACAGTTTTCTTCCTCAGAGGGAAGAAAAACCAAAAGCATAAATGAATGCAAAGTCACGTTTAAAAATAGATTTTGATCCTATACCTACCTTGGAATGTGTAGGACATTGTTCCAATACGATTCACCATGGTATTCTTTTCCTCTGGTGTCACTTTATTCAAAGCAACCAGTTTGTCACCCTCTTTTGCCTTCTCTATAGCTCCCTGTCATAAATGATAAAATCACAGCACCATACGTAAGTTCATAACACAATCAACATAAACTATTAAAAGTTTCAAGAAGGTGATCTCATTGAAACCTACAAAATACTTAAAACAGATGGATGGGGTAAATATAGGTGAGATGCAGGTAAGATGTTTCTCCTGGTTGAGAGTCTAGAATCAGGGGCACAATTTAAAAATTAGGGGCATGATATTAAAGTACCAAAGCAAGGAAATTTTGTTTTTACTCAGAGTCCTGAATCTTTGGAATTCTGTTCTCCAGAGGACTATGGAAGCTGTGTCTTTGAGTATATTTAAAAGTAGAGACTGATAAATCTTTGGTTATGTAGGTAAAAGGCATTCAAGTGTTCAATCAGCCAATGATTATATTAAATGGTGCAACATGCTTAAATGGGCTGAAGACGTACACCTATTCCTGTAACATAAAATTTCTCTCAGATCAACCTGAAAACCTTTATTTTCTGAGTTTTGGTCAATAAGTTATTACTGACTAAAATTCTACATTGTCAGATTATAAATAAAGAATTTTTAAAATATTTCTTCATGATTTGGGTATCTCTGGCTAGGCCAGTATTTGTTGCCGATCTGTGAAGAACTGCAGGCCATGTTGTGCAGGTACACTCAGTGCTGCTGAGAAAGGAGTTCCAGGATTGTCACTGCTTACTGTATGAAGTAATGGCAGTATAGTTCCAAATCAGGATGTGGTTCAGCTTAGAGGGGAACTTGCAGGTGTCAGAATTTCAGCATCTGCTGTCTTGTCCTTATTAGGTAGTCTATGCCATATTTTAGAAGGCTCAGGCAAAGAAACCATACAGAGTCGCTACACTGCATCTTGCAGATGGTACACACTGCTATCACTGGCCATTGATGATGGAGAAAGAGTGAATGTTTAAGGAGGTGGGTGAGGTGTTAATCAAGTGAGCGGTTTTATCCTGAATGGTTTTGGGCTTCTAGAGTTGGTGCTGCATTTATCCAGGTAAGTGGAGAATAAGCCATCATACTCTTGACAGGAATCTTGTCAAGGGTGGATAGACTCTGGGAAGTCAGATGATAACTTACTTGCTGTAGAATTCCCAGCTTCTAACCTGCTTTTGTAGCCACAGTATGGCTGATCCAGTTCTATTCCCGGGCAATGGTAATTCCAGAATGTTGGTGGTGGGGAATTTCAGCAATAATGATGGCAGTGAACATCAAGAGGCAGTTAGATTGTCTCTTATCGGAGATAGTCACTGACTACCACTTGTTACATGCCACCACACCAAAAACAGAATTTATTTTAAAAGAAAATGTATGGCTACATTTCTTATCAAAATATCATACATAGTCTACCAAAAGGTATCTACATGACATTCACAGTCCTTAGCCTTTAAGTTTTTCTTCATTGAGTAACAGTTACAAATTAAATGTGATTAATTGTATAGATAGGAGGAAATGTTGAACTGGTATGCATTAATTCAACACTATCATTATCAATATATGATAATGATATGTAACACAACTTAAGAAATACAAGATGAAGAATTCATTTTGATGTTCTACATATTTACAATTCTTGCAATTAACAGCGTCATATGGAGGACAATAAGCAATTCTGGACACATTTGACTGTACTGGACCCAACCCTGTTACAATTCCTGCAGGTGAAACCATATGCTAAGATGATTCAAGTTTAATGAATGACTCCCAAATGAAAAAAATTACCATGTTCAATAACTCAACACAGATCAGAAGCCACATAAATTAAACATAAATCAACAGGCAAACGATACTCCAAATTAAAAAGGTAAACTACATGTTAGATAGTCAAAACAACAAAAACATCATTGTTGATGTGTCTCCAGAGGTCCTGATGTGCTTTTCCCTTCTTGAACAACAAAGACACATCTTACAGAACCACAAGCATTTAGATTATTCCCCCCACATGTGGCACTGCATAGTTCCACAATATGGAAACATAGAAAATTGAAACAGTAGACCATTTGGCCCTTTGAGCTTGTGTCACCATTCAATATGAACTCAACACCCTGTTCCCACTTTTGTCCCATACCCATTGATCCCTTTAACCCTAAGGGCCATATCTAACTCGTCCTTGAAAATTATGCTGATAAGTTTGAAAAATATGCTGATTTTTATCTGTGCATAGTAGATCAGGAGTTATATTCAACAATAGCTTTCACTTCCACATATCACACATTGTTATTGTTATCATTAAGTCACACTTCTACAAACCCTCTCTTTTTCAGGTCAAGATTGATGATGGTGTAGCTTTCCAGAGTTACTTTTCAACTGACCAATTGATAATCACCCTGGCTCACTATCTGGACAAACACCCACTACTTCTGGGCAAACAACCAGCTCTTTAGCATGTTCAAGCAAGTCACACAGCCTTTCAGGTTTTAGACGTTTTTAGCTGACTTGCACAGTGCCTCCAGGGGCTTTGATGTGCTTTTCTCTTCTTGAAAGAGGTGTTTCTTTTCTCACAATAGTTTCTTCCCGCCTCATTGCTTGTTCTTTCTTTCTACAACCGCGTGCTCATTTCTCTTCTATCTCTAGCTCTACCTTCTTTACATCAGCAATTTCATTAATTTCACAATTTCCACTGCAGCACGAACAGCCATCCAATATTGAGTGCGATGATTGCTGCTCTGTCAACCAACCGTCATGCAACAGATTACTAGGACTGCTGAGGCCCTGGCTAGGAGCACTGACAGCGGGTCCATAGGACATAAGTGAGCTAACAAAAAGTGCCAAGTACATTAAAAATTGTGCCTGCAATTCCTGTGTCATGTGGGACCTGTAGGATACTTCATGTGTAGTGAATAAACAAGTCCAGTACGTGTCTCCAGTTGCCTGAATACAAGACCAGAAATTTTGCCTTCCTGAGAGTGGGCATCCGGTCCTGAAATGCAACATTCACCCTCAGAAGATTGGATGTTCAAATTCTACTCAAGACTTCAGCACAAAATGTAGGCCAAGATCCCAGCAGTGAATTGAGGGACTGCTGAACTTTTGAAAATATCTTCTTTTGGATGAGAAATTAAACCATGTCTTTTCCTGCCCTTTCCGGTAGATCCAATGGATCCTGTGGCATCACTGAAATGGACCAGGATAGTTCTATCCACTGGGTGGACAATATTTGTGCTTCAACTGACATCACCAATTCAGATTATATGGTCAATAATGAATTTCTACCTATGGAATCTTGCTGTATGCAAATTGGACCCGTGCTTCTTGCATGACAATAGTAGCAACACTTCAAAAAGTGACTAATTGACTATCAAGCAAACTGGGTCTTCCTAAGATAATGAAAGGCACTATCTGAATGCAAGTTCTTCCTTTCTTTCACTGACTTTCTAATAGCACTTCAGTTCAATGCATATTTTTCCCCTTACACCCCAACATTCTAATTTATACCATCACAAAATACTGATGCTAGCAATTGGAAATGAAACTAGAAATGCTGGAAATACGCAGTTAGTATGGAAGCATCTGTGGAGAGAGAAACAAAGTTAATTGATCTGAATTTTACCAACTCCATGGGGATTCTGACTTTGGAGTAATAAAAAAGGCAGCTGAGGTTACACATGCTTCCAGCAGGAACCACTCAGCAATCTTACCATAGAGTCTTTCTAATTGGTCATTTGTGGGCCAAGCAGTCAGAATCCTGATGCTGTTAGCCTACTCACAGGATCAACAGGTCTGAAGCTTAAGAAGGGTACTCCAAGGCACATCAGGTCTACAACAGATACATTAAAAAGAAAGGAAGTTCCAGAAAAATTCTCAGAGCCAAGTAGACAATAGTTCATTTCTGGGAAAGGAATTGGAGCCATGGGAATCGCTTCCCTTTTGGTGCCTGTTTCTCAGGTCCATAAATACTTCTCCCACAACCCCAACTCCTGCTGCGCTGCAATTAGGTAACTATTTCAATATAGCTCATGGCCTTCCAACATGGCAGAGAATGTTAACAAAATATGGACATTGACAAAATTACACAGTCAATGACCATAAATAGGCCTTGAACTATGTAAAACTTTAGTTAATGCCTTGGTTAGTAGATGGAAAATACCATGGGTGATGGGAAAAAGATACTAAGTTTGTGTGACAGCACTTCTGGACATACAAAAAAATTAATTACCTATCTCCTCAGAGTATGTCCCAGATCCCATCATCTGTAAAATGCCCAGGTGATTTTAACGCCTCACCCCTAAACCCCAAGAGCCAGTCAAATTCATTCAACTAGCTCCGTTTCTTCCTCCACAGATCATGCCAAATAGCACTTCTGGTTTTCAAAACTATGACCCCACCCCAGTTTCCACCTCAGAGACCAAGAGATTTGCTCTTTTTTGACTTTAACCAAAAGCACTCATAATTTAATCAGTTAACTTGAGTGATTACTTGAAACTCCCTCGATCACGTCAGTAGAATCATAGAATCCCAACAGTGCAAATAGAGGCTATTTGGGCCATCAAAATTTCACATATGGCTATAACCGCACATTTACCATAGTTAACGAACTTAGACTACACACTACAGAGCAATTTAGCATAGCCAATCCATCTACCATCTTTGGACTGTAGAAGGAAAACACAGCACCTGAGGAAACCCATCCAAACACAGGGAGAAGAATGCAAACTCCACGCAGACAGTCACCCAAAGCTGGAATTGAACCCAAGTCCCTAGCACTGTAAGGCATCAGTGCTAACCATTGTACCACCATGCTGCCTAGAGTAAAGTCCAGATATTTTTAACTTCTCTTCAAAACTTAAAAAAAACCCTTATCCTGGATACCATTTCAGTAATTTTTGGAAGCCCTTGCAATCTTTCTAAATGAAGGCTCACAAAGTGGCCAAAATCAATGATTTGTACCAGTTTCCCCATTATTTCTGATTATAATCCATGACTTTACCTAAAAAAAAACAGGAAAACAGTGTCCTAAAAAGGACTTGGCCTTCCACTCACCACTGGTGCATCTGAAACTATGCATTAAATTTCAAGTGGCTGCAGAAGTTGGAGTATGATGCAGATTAATGGGTCCAGAAGAAAAGCTGCACCAGCTACAGATTCCCTGGCCTCATCCCATTTGGGATTACTGGGCTACCTGCCTGCAATGTGGCTACAAGACAGCAGCTCATTATGAACCACTCAGCATTTAAAGAAAGGCAACTGAGATTTTCCAGTCAGCCTCTAGATTCTCACAGGATCTAAGGCACATTTAAGTATCCTGAGGTGGCAGGATAAGTGTTATTGTTCCAGGCAAGACTAAAGACCCTTCACTTGAGTGCAGGAAGGAGATCGCTCCTTCTTACCACTACCAATAGCTCTTCCCCAAGGTGGTTGCCTGACTGCAAGTTCCATTTTTTATTTGAATTTTTTAAATATTGGAAAGAGGACTCAACATTTTTTAGCTCCTCTTTTACTTAGCTTTGATTGTAGCCTGCAGCCCTTTTCAAGCTGCAAGGTCTTCGATTGGCCCTCTATCTTCAAGAGGCTGCTATCATCCTTAATTGAAAGTCAAGTCTGTCTCCAGGCCCATTAAACAGGCATTTCATCAAAAGTCACAATGAGTGACTGATTCCACCCCTGGGATTTGAGACCCACAAACAATCCCAACCTTTGTTTCTCATTTTCAGAGGGAAGTCCTGAATTTATTTAAATTTAATCGACACATCAATATAAATTAATCCATACTCAGATGCTAGTTTCTACTAAAAAAAAGGGAGTGCCTTGGTGGTCAAGCACATCACTCGGTTAGCTTGGACTCAAATCCAGCCCACAATGGCTCATTAAGCACGTCTTCCATTCTTTGCCTGACACAAATATCTCTGATCTCCTCTATTGACCGAGTGATCCTGTGTCAATTAGTTTGGAGACTAATCAACCCCCAGGACATAGAACAGACAGTTTAAAGATCTTTTATGCAATAGTTTCTCAATATTCCATATTTTGCTTCAAATTAATTTCATTTATCTTTATTGCCATCTAACTTAGGGCAAAAACATCTGCACTGGCACTTTGTTTTACCTTATGTACGCTAATGATTTCAGGAAAACATCCTAGTAATCCCTTGTACTCTTGGTTTGTTTCCATCAGATAATGCAAGTCCTTTTTGGGCTGTTGAAAACAACAAGTTTATATCACATATTTACATAATACATCTCATTAAAAGCAGTGTTTGCACTCAGATTTCATTATTTTAATTTCGATTACCATAACATGACAAAAAACAATGCTTTACTGACAGATATTGCATCTCATTTCTGATAAAGACAACTGTTTTTCCCCCAAGCATTTTTGTTTCTTCCCTGATGTGTGGCACATTATCTATGTAGCCAGGGATTAATTATTCCCATTGTTTCCTCAGTGAGGCAGACCTTTGCACCAAAGCAGCATTACAAATATATCAATAGTCCACAATGTACAAAAATGGCAAAACTGAACCAATACTCTATTATTCATTCCATTGCTTCATAATCATACCCTTTGTGGTAAAGTGTGAATTCCATGAGAGTACTGAGCACTGCCAAAAGATTTTTTTCTTTCCCACTTTCCCTTTAAATAATTCACACTGGAAAATAACTACTGTTTAGTTTTAATATCATAGTTTACAGTCCAATATTAAGTAGCATTTTACTTCTTCAATACTACTGGGGAGGCGATGGCCTAGTGATATTATTGCTGGACTGTTAATCCCAAATAACATTCCGGGGACCTGGGTAAGAATCCCGCCACAGCAGATGATGGAATTTGAATTCAATAAATATCTGGAAATAAGAATCTAATGATGACTGTGAATCCATTGTTGATTGTTGGAAAAACCTATCTGATTCACTAATGTTCCTCAGGGAAGGAAACTGCCATCCTTACCTGGTCTGGCTGACATGAGTCCAGACCCGCAGCAATGTGGTTGACTCTGAACTGCCCTCTGGGCAATAAGGGATGGACAATAAATGCTGCCTAGTCAGCGACGTCCTCATCTCGTGAATGAATAAAGGAAAAAAAACTACAAACTAAAAATGTCTTGGTACCTGTTCTGCAAAGATGCTGGCAATTTCTTCAAATGTCTTTCCTACTTCAGTTAAAGGATCTGTCAAAATGGATTCACCTGAAACACAAATCAACAACTGAGTCCTTTGACCAATTATACAGCAAATGATGATAGACACCTTTCACATGGAAATAAATTCCCAACTAAAAGACAACTTTCTAATGGCACAAAGATCTTAAGTTTCCACTTGACTGAACTTCTTTTTGATACAATTCCCGACATCTGCATAACTGGCACAAAAAGGATTGGGGAATTTTAAAACACAAATTGAGTTTCCATGATCTCTTGCAATAATTTAAAAGCACACTAACTCAGCTGAGGTCAATCCATGCAGAGTTGGTCACAACCCCAGAACAAATTAATCACTAGAGAGTCTCCTCTAATTTACAGGCCTTCAAACAGGCTTCAAAAGTTAATCTGATTCTTTTGACACAAGGACAATAATAGGCAAGTATAGAAAAGTTTCAAATTTGATTTTTTTTTTAAAAAAAGCTTACTCAGAAACAGGCACTGTATGACAATCAAATGGAAAATAGCTTTGTCTATTTTTGAATCATTTCAAAAATTCAAAATCAGGCTACTCTGAGGTTCAAAATGCTTATTTTTGCGATAAACTCATCTTCAGCTGTATTAAATGTTGCCAAGTTACACTTTTATGTATATGATGCTGAATTTTAAAATTCAGCAATATGCAAATGTGTTACAGCTGAATGTGCACGCGCGCACAAGCGTGTGCACACACAGGTGGGGAGAGAGTGGAATCAGTTTCTTTTTTAGAAAGCATACAATCCTGCCAAGAACTAAATTTACCTAGATTGAAAATATGAGATCCTTGAAATAAAATAGTATGGTGCCATCATTTACAAAATATAAAAGAAGTGTTCTAATTTTGGCTCTATTTTCAAAGAAAGGGAAAAAGGAGCCAAAATGAAATACAGTATTAAAAATACAAGAATTACCGAGTGGATAAATTTGTTTAAAGTGTGTCAGATGCACTGCAGCGATTGCACCAACAGAATTACAACATAGCAATGACTCGGAGATAGCAAGAACTGCAGATGCTGGAGTCAGACACGACACAGTATGGAGCTCGAGGAACACAGCAGGCCAGGCAACATCAGAGCAGCAGGAAAGTTGACGTTTCAGGTCGGGACCCTTCTTCAGCAATGACTCTAATGCCAGCAATTCAGCAGACTTAAAAGCAATGATTTGCAACTGTTTGAAACTTTCTTTATATTTACATGATTTCCTGAATTCTGTAGTAGGCTAGCATGTATGTATACAGAAGACTACCCTGAAACACAAATAATAGCACATTACCTTCATAACCACTGGTTGCGAAAACCTGTGAAATGTTTTGTAAAGCTTTTCCCATCTTCTGATATTCCTTGGGCAGTGCTTTAAAGAGAATACAGAACACTTTCATTCCTGCACCTTAAAAGCAGTCAACACCAATTGTAGCAGGAACAGAAGTAGGCAATTTAACTCCTTGAACTTTTTCCAGAATTCGGTTAGATCAGAGCTAACTTGTACCTTAACTCCACTCACTCACCTTGTTTGTAATCTGTTTGCCCAAAAAACCATTAAACTCAGTTTTGAAATTTTCAATTGATCGAGTTTCAAAAGCTTTGAGGGCTCCACTATTCTTGGTGTGAAGTCCTCTCTGACACTGCACCTGAAAGTTCAAACTCTCCAGTTTGACATTACGTGCCCTTGGTCTGGATTTCCCCACCAGAGGGAGCAGTTTATTCGACCACTCAACCCATCAATATCACTTACGATCATCATAAACATATCAAATTACATCACCTTTATGTTCTATATGAAGAAAAAGCAAGCCTACCAAATGCGACCTGTCCTCTTAATTTAAGCCACCAAATATAATTCTGTTGAGAGATAGTAGGAACTGCAGATGCTAGAGAATCCGAGACAACAAGGTGCAGGGCTGGATGAACCCAGCAGGCCAAGCAGCATCATAGGAGCAGAGAGGCTGACGTTTCGGGCCTAGACCCTTCACCAGAA